GAACTCCTCTCAGAATCGATTTTTCGTAAACAATGGTTTATCGTTGCTTACAGCTGTTCATTAAAATAGTTTTAATGTTAAAATTTTAACTGTTATAGATAATTTAGATAATTAGTGTCTATTACAGTGACTGCACCCGTCCACATTATGGTAGGACGTCTTTTTTTTTTTTTTTTTTAACTGAATAAATATTTAATATATAGTAACTAAAATACACAGTCACACACCGTGTTCGATATGGTTACTATGATGATTGCGGTGACGATGATGATGATGAGAGTGACGATAACTAAGACTGATTAAAAACTTAAAACCTTAAAAAACACTTATTATTTGTACAATTACTTATTTCATTAATAAAATAGACTGTCATTTTTTTAAAAAACTAAATACTTTATGTTAATATATAAATGACTTATTGCATTATGTATAATAGACAATACTAAAACAAAGTATTCATTTTCGCAATAAATTTTTGGTTTACGATTAAATGCCAACAATGAAGGCTAATCGACCCACTGCGTGTCGTATCGTATCTGGGATACCGTCTTTTAAGTAGATTTATTTTTGTGAATATTCACTTAATTAATTTCACTGTCGTGGTATTAACGAGAGGACGACGATTTTAGACGACACGCATAAAACTACACAAACAAAAAAATGTAGGGTTGAACATAGAAATTTTCTAAAATAATTTCTTCCGATTTTTCTCCGTTTTTCCTTATTATTAAAAAAATAATAAATACAAAATCAAAAAATGACTTTCTCTGTACATCGGCTATAGATAAAGTTTTCTTTTAGACGATATGTTAAAATTAATTACACTGTCGTATACGACAAGATTCTTTCTTTGTTTGTTATAAATACTATAATATACGTATATACTTTTGTCCAATTTTTTTTTTCTTTGGTAGTTTAATAACCAAACTTCAAATGATACGACGTGTATCCCGGAATACAAATATTATTTTGAATATTTCATCGAAGTTTATTAAGTTCCAGCTGCATGTAAGTTATCAGCCAAATAAATAATGATTAATGTATGAAAATATATTGAATTTAATGTAATCAAATGTAATGAAAATACATTCCACTGGCCAAAGCAATAATGTGTTTGTTATGCGGTTTTAATTTTTTTTTTTTTTTTTTTAAGTACTTCATTATTAACTCATTATTTTTACGAAATACTTCACTGTTTTGATATCTGTCGAGCTACATTGAAAAAAGTACCATCGTATAGCGTCGTATGTCCCGTAGAAAATGTTGATTTATTTTTTTTTATCTACTAATTGCTTATTAACCAATGAGGTTTTTTTTTTTTTTAAAATACAAAATATCAGTAACAATACCGATTCAATTATTTCGCATGAAGAGACTTGCGCGTTACATGTTTTTATGTCGACCTTATTCAGCGTGAAATTCAAATCTTTTCAAACTGCATTTTTTAATGTAATGCAAAATCGATAATTAAAATCGAACGGTAATAATAATATTACTTAATTTGAACATAAATGACGTACTAATGGTAATATTAAATATTCAAAATGCGTACAACTCCCGATCAAAGGGCATGAAACATTTCAAAAGAACTTAGAAAAAGCCAAAATAATTATTATAGTAGAGTGCAAATAAATACAGCGTTCGGGGCAACAGCTATGCATCCCCGGAGACGTCTTGTTAATGCAAAGAAAACAAGACATCTGAAATTCGTATTGTGTCTCGGCGTTTAACTAGGTATCGGGATCGTTTGGCCAAAAATCGAGGATGTTTTTTTTTTCTTTTACAGGAATATAAAAAAAACCGCTATTTTCGAAAGAAAACAAAAGTGGAAGCGAAGTGTGGAACGAAGTGTTTTGAACAGGTTCATGAACGGGCAAATTTAATATTATTCGATATTAAAATGAATCCTCCCCCCCCCGCCTTTTCACCGTTCAATTTTCGAACCGAATTAGTTTTGTGCACAGCTATAGAGGTGCGGGTTGCGATGAACTGCGAGTACTGCGTCCAACGATATCGGTGAAACTATTACAGTAGTTAAATTGTGTAATTACGACGGTTGTCACTGTGAAACGCGTTATCGGAATACAGATTTGATAATTCCCAGGAGTTATTCGGTACTGTATAACAAAATACATATTAAAGTCTCGTACTTTCTCCAATCTTATGTTTATAGAACCACTTTATACTACGAGAACCATTTGGTTATAGTCGTGTCGGGAGCCGATTCAATATTTAGTTTCGCGGGAGCCACAATTCAACGTTCGGGATGGTATTTCACGTAACATTGGGAGCGAATTTAACGGTCGCCCCGAACGGAACGGATAAAAACGCTGTACCTATACTGTAGGCGGAGGAAACGAGAACGGTTTAAAGCGGACGTGATCGGTGATTGTGGTAAATTTTTAAGTATTACCAATACGTATATACGCGAGTAGAATGTAGTCTGAGGGATACGCGAGGGAGAAAGTGTGCTGCGATGTGTTCGCAGTGGCGTAGTATTTAGGGTTTTATACAGGCCCGTGCGGGGCTATGCCCCCTCCAAAAAAAAAAAAATCAATAAATAAACAACCCACTTTTAATAACATGTTTATTTTCTAAGCGTTTAAATACTTTAGCGCGAACATTTAAATGTAATCATTTTTTATATTTATGGATTAGTTGTTAAGTATGAAGTATTGAAATTATTTTACTAGCAGGCTTTGAACGTTGTCATAAAAATCTGTTTAACGAAGAAAACATAAAGTGTGTGAAAACGTTAATTTAGTGGCCCTAAACTCTCGTTGAATTTTGCATTTACTTTTTACGAATCACACTTATCAATTTCAGATAATCCCAACAAAATCGGACTACACGACACCACGGTCACACCACAGAGAAAAATTTATCAACACCTACTTTATGTGTCACATTATGGACCGTGGTCGATAATATCACTTTTAACTGATAATTCATGATTTTTCGCGATGACCGCGATGATGACGATATTAACGTAATTTAGAAAACTACCTTTTTTTTTTTTTTTAAAAAAAATTTAAATTATCAATTAATACTTGTACATTAGGTTTGATTTACATAATTCCATAATATTTGTTTGAAAAAAGTCATTGGGGTGGATCTATCCCCGTGATCCACTGCCGCATATACGTCACTGACGGTTCGGGGGCAAGTTGTCGAGTCGCGCAGTGTCGTTAAACCACGGGAAAACGGAAACACGGAGACCGTGCGACGAACAGAAATATCCTTCGGTCCCTCGGAGTTCCGGTTTTTATCGACAAGTTTTCACTTAATATAGTTTTATTTTCTTGTTAAGAGCCACGGCCCTCGTGCCGGCATTATTAATATTGCACGGGGTTGTTTTTTTTTTTTTTTACATTTTGTTTTGTTATTATAATATAGCGGTTGTCGATCGCGCGACCGCTCCAACAGGAAGCGTTAGCTTCCACACGTTTTCGAACGTTTCCGGTCGGCCGGACGAGTACGGTAAAAGAAAAAAAATAAATCGTTTCAAACGGACCCGAAAAGCCCGGAGTGTCCCCTCCGTGTAGCCGTCGTCGTTTTTTTTTTTTTTTAATGTACTCCCGGTTCCGAGCCGATAGAGGGTGTCGCGAATCGCGCGTGTAGGTTATAGGTATATATTTTATAGAGTACATTATGCGCTGTGCAGGGTAAATGTTAAAAGTTTCGCGAAAAGGGTGAGACGCCGGCGGTGGCTGCGGGGAAGACGATTCCGGAAAGCGCGTGCCAAATTTCGACGAAAATTCCCGCCGGAAATATAGTTTTTTTTTTTTTTCCTTTTGCCCCCGCGGAAAGGAAAACGCGAAAACTTTCGATATAGTACGTACAATATTATAGCCCCCGCGTATGGCCTGACCGAACCGCCGTCGCCCACCGTCCCCAGCGCCGGCGAAGTTTTATTATATACGCCGTTATTATTAATTTCGGGCCGGGTACGGAGGGTTATTTTTTATCGTTTTGTTTTGTTTTGTTTTTTTCCCCTTTTTTTGGCGGCAAATCAAACTAATTTCCTCGTCGAACGGTGTCGCCGCCGCCGCGTCGTTTCGCAATAAATTACGCGACGACGAGACCGCCGCCGCCGCCCGCCCGCACCGGCCACTTTTCGTTTCATCCCACCGCCGCCGCGGCGGCAGCTGCGCCGCCGTCGACGCCGAATTGTTATTGTTTTCCCGCGCGCCTCACCCGGACGACGTCGCCGCGTTGTTATTGCAACGTATAAACATATCGTAATAACAATAATGATAACGATAACGATAACGGCAATATCGTGTACGCGGGGCCGACGGCCGCGATCCGCGCACCCAGGTATGAAACGACGATAACGATAATAACGATAGCGATAATAATAATAACAATACGTATCGTTAAATATACGCGCGGGTACGTGTATAATATAACACGGGCGCTCTGCGGGAACCGTGCGCGGATCCCCGGACTTTATTACATCGGGCGCGTGCGGCGCCGTGTATATCGTGGACAATAAATAAAGTGCCCTCCGGAGGCGGCGTATCCGCGAGGGGCGGGCACGCGCTGCACGCGGGTCAGTCGAGACGGCGTGTGTGAGATTAACACACGGATAGAGCGGGGAGCAATAATAAATACGCGTATTTTTCATTTTTCCTTTCCCTCCCCCCCCGAAATTTTACACTATCGCGCCCCGAACGAAGGCTGTTCGGGTCCCGAGGCAAGCGTCCGCCCGACGAACGTCACCTTGTTCGCCTTGTACGCCCGTTTAACGCGGTCTGCCGATGTCGTCAATTGTTACGCGTTGTCGGGTGTGATCGATATTTTTGTTGTTTGATCAAAAAACAACCGTGTCCACACCGATATGGCTAAAGACGCAGGCGTTCGGATGTTCGGTACAGATAATCTCGAGAACCACACCGGTTCGATTTTCGTCCAAGCATCCGCCGGTATCCGCCGAGCGCAACCTAGGCTTTTAATTTTTTTTTTTTTTATTTTTTTTCATCACACTTCAATCCAATATGAAATCGAATTTCAACGATTCACTGCTTGGCAACCGTGTAACTAATTCTTACAGTCTGAAAAGAAAATATAAAGATAATTCATTTTCAAAACTTCAAGGGCAGCAACGGTAAACCGCTTCAGGGATGATAGTGACGGGGATTGAGGGGTTGAAACAGGGAATCCGGGAGGAAAACGTTTTTATTACACATTTGTTTGGCACGGGCAACGTTGGGCGGGACAGCTAGTTAATTATATTGCTTGAAATACTATTCATTTTCGTTAGCATATTATCATTGTTTTAACAGTTTTAATACATTAATAATTTAATTTACTACCGCGTCGTTCTGTACACAGAAAGAAAAATTCAAATTTTATGTATTGTAATATCATTCGTTAGTAATACACAAGAGGAAATTGATTCTTTTAAATTTTTGTTTTGTTTATACAAGAAGAACAATCGTCAGAAGTAAAGTAATATTATTTATGTATTTTTGACCGACTAACCGAACTAGCTCAGAATTATGTTTGGATTACAATAATAATTTGCAGTTCGTTTAATTATGTTAAAATGATCATAAACTAAACGTTACTCTGTATCCTGATAATTAGCGTTTCAATAAGAGCGATTTTGAAATGAAATAAAACAATATATTTTTTTTTCATTTGAAACGTTTATGTGTGTCAATTATTTATGAAATATAACATCATTTAAATGTCCACCACAGGCTTCTTACTGTAACACGAATTTCAGTGGTTCAATTTCCTTTGATAATGCCGCATATACCCCGTTGAATTTGAACGATCGTCAGAGTTATGTTGACTTTAAGGTCGTCTGTCCATTTCGACTTATTAGCATAGACCTGCAACATCAGGAAACCCCACAAGAAAAAGTATAATGGTGTCAAATCACAAGATCTCGGTGTCACCACAGCGAGAGATAGCCACGCCCTCAAATTTTTCATGCAGAATGTGAATCGTGTCGTCCGTCGTGTAGCACGTTTCGTCGTACTTTTGAAACGTCATATTGTCTTCACCCATATCGTTCAATTTGGACCGAAAAAAAAATTGATTTTAATCGTTCCGTAACGTTCACCACCATTAACGTTAGTGGCCTCGCCGTTGTCGTTTTCAAAAAAGTACGGATAAATAAACCGCCGGCACCAAAACCACACCAAGCAGTCACTTTTTTGTAGACGAAATCATTTCTGAAAAACTTCGTGTGGTTTGGTATCCTCTCATATCCGGCAATTTTGGTTGATCACATAGCCATTCGTTCGAAAATGCGCTACGTTAATGAAAATATTTTTTTGGATTTTGATGTTTGCACTATCGAACACTCATTTATAATAAAGTTTTATCATTTGGACGTGCTGCTCAGCCGTGCAACTTGCCATTATGAATTGCTACTATTAAATCAATAAAAAATAAAAGATAAGAAAGACGTCATCAAAACCATATGGCCGTACAGTATAGCCAACATCGACCCGCTCCAATTGAAACACAAATTTCCAACGGCTCACTTATATCAGTGGTACACTCAACAACCATGTGGTATGAATAATGTCTGATTTTCGTTCACTTTTGTTTTTTAATTTTGTACAGTGCCTCCTGTTTGCCTTTTTTGAAAAAATAACAAATTAAAACGATTTTTTAAATTTAGATGCTAAAACTGTAGCTGGCGGCAATCCAGTTTTAAATGGACAATCATATTTGTTTATAATTATACGACTGAGGATGTATGATGTTACGGTGTTCGTACAGATTTAAACTACTACATTACACTGAACTTTTTTTTCCACTAAGTGCAATTTATAATAAAATACAATTTTCAAACATTTCTGCTCGGCCAGAAACCAAATGAAAACTAAAAAACTCGGCAAATTCATATGCTTATAAATAGCCCGAAAATCCCTGGACGTTTTGAATATGTAATTACTTCTAGAAAGGTTTCGTGTAAGTACTCTGTGAACATTTTAGGTCTCTAGGATGATTATTTTAAATCGAATTACATCAAACAACATTGAGACTAACAGAAACCATTATCGTGTAAAATTTTTTTCCAAATATTAAACAAATCACAAGAAAAATCATCCTTTCCAATGCACCAGCTATAAAACATTTGCTTTGAGAAAAGATGTTACGGTGTTATGAAGATTGAAACAATATTTGTACAGGCAGATTTGTCATTTCTATTATCACAGATCGAAAAGAAAACCATATGACAACAAAAATCCAACGTGTACATTATACTCCTCGCTGCTAAAATACTTGGAACCACGGTAAAAATACTCTAAAATATTCAACAAACTGTTAATAATATTTGAACTGAACGGTTTAAAATGAAGAATACGAAAAAATATAAAATCGTCATCAAATTATTGCAAACATCAACCGAGTAATCTCGGTTAAAAGGTAAATCTTGTCGGAAAACATGATTTTTCCTTATTTCTATTTTGTTTCGGTAACCATGGTGTATAAACAGTAGTGCATAAATACAATGAACGAATAGTTTGACTTTTAATTTTAACTTGTTTTTGTATGTACATTTGAAGTATTAATTATTTGTATAGGAATCGTTGTAAATCTTGTAATCTTAAGAAGCAACTCGGTAAAATGTTTCGAATAGAATTCACTCTGAGAACTTCAGTCATCCAACGCTACACAATGGTGTTACCGGGAGCTCTTCTGGTAATTTCGGAACCGAATCATTTTCTTTGAGACGCCACGAGCGTTTTTTTTTTTTTTTTTTTATATATAAAATTAGTAATTTTATACCAAGGTACTCGCGTTTTTGGGACAAGTCAATAAGTTGAACTTTTTCGGAGCACCCTATGCAATCGGATGCATATCATTGGTAATCATAATTATTATTAGTCACCTAAAATTATATGCAAATGTGTCGTTTCGTATACGAATGCGTCGTTACGTTTATTTATAGTAAGTATAACAATTATCGAGATAGGTAGACATTAAAGGCGTATCTTGATTTCTTCAAGAGTAAATGCATCACTTTTGTAAACAATTGACACACGAAAAAGTTACAGCCATTATACGTTGGTTTTTGATTTTGATTCACGACTAGATTAAAATATTGTTATTATTGTATTTAAACTTAAATTTCCATTTTAAACCCATAATTTACGTGGTCATTATAATATTTGTAATGCAATTGTCGTTCAATGCTGTTCGTTATTTTAGACTGAAACAGTAAATGCGAGTTTCACTCATTTATTCGGACATTGTCTTAGGCAGGCACAGTTATTTTGCTTAAGAACATTCCTAAATTGTGAAAACAATAATATCGAAGTATCATAATCTATGCATAACTAATTATTTATTTTATAACAATAATAAATACAAATCTTGCATCGTACTGCTATATTATGTTACGTGCATGCGTGTTATGTGGTTAGTAATATTTTAACCTTAAATTGTAGTAAACGATATTTTAAATTATCGAAAATCACAAATTTAAAAATTATCTAAAGTGTTTTGTCTTTCAGGGGAGAATCGATCACATTAATAACGCGTTACTGTTGTCCGGACTTGGATTCATTATGGACATGTTCTTTCTTTTGTTCCATAAATCTGAGTAAGTATATTTCGGTTTAATTCTTTGTTTTATATGATACGTGATATTACAGCAACATCTTGAACACAGGCAGCTGATTGCATACAACTTTAATCAATATCGATAATTTACTTACCTTATGGGTATCTGTGCGCCTGAACATAATTTTCCCGTTAATGTTTAACGTAATCAATCTATATTTTTTATATTATTACTCGCGTATTATGTACGGTGCATTTTGCAGGGACAGTAGTGACGTGAACGGGTATCTATTACGAAGCCACTGCTTCGTTACCAAATTTGTAGGGTGGGTTGATATGTGATACTTTTTCATTAAATAAGGGAGACTGGCATACCGGAACGATAATGATAATTTGATGAATAAGAAATATTCATATGTATCTAAGAACCGAGGATTCTTCAAAAACATGAATTTTAATCTTAAATATCTTGCAGCGCGTTTAGTTTAGATTATGTTGTCTTTTATTACAGAAATGGTGAACGAAATCATATTTTGTACATCAATAATTTTTTTTTCCATCATTTATGATATTTAGTTTTAATGTACTCATTTGTCATTTTTAAAATTATAAATTAATTTGAACAAAAAATAATTTAAATATTAAAAAGTCGACATTTTATTATAATGTATGTATTTCAAGGTATAACAAAATTTAATTTAAATTTTGTTTATATTAAACAGTAAAATTAGTATATTATATTATTTTAAACCTCAGCTTTCGTATTAAATGGCATATATCTAGTTTGTATTTTTTAATTGAATTAAATTAAATTTTTCTAAATTATCTAATTTATTATTTGACTACAACCATGAGAACATATTATAAACGAAAATAAACAGATATATTTTCTAGTGTTGACTAGTAATACATTTTTTATAAGTCCATTAAAAAAAAAAAATGGTTTTTTATATTAAATCATCTATATTGACCTAAAAAAATGAAGTACATGAACTGCCTTAGATACAATTTCTGGACTATCTTAGTTCTTTTGTGCTTGGGTCGTACGAGGTATTTTACTGAAATTACTTCATAAACAAAAAAACTTCGCTCCACCAGTGTTCAGAATTATCTGTTATTGTGTGTTACTTATTGTCGTGAAAATGAAAAGTATAAACTGTTTGATGGATTTATCCTTTAAGATTTTGGAATGGCAATTCATTGTTCATATTTCCCCGAGTCATGAGTGCCTCATATAGAAACTGATCACACTGTATATTATTACATAAATATACTAATCTAATAACTAATTACTTGTTGTGTTTTTATTATAGTTCCAGTTGGTTGTATATCAAAGCCATTCAGTTTATTTTGCGTTTAATCAGTAAGTAATTTGATAACTGAGTAGGTACTTTAAATAATGTTTAATTTTCTAGTTAGGTACGTACTAGAAATTACAAGTTTTAAGTTTTATTACAATTAAAATTAATTATTATTTGTTATTAGATTTATGGTGATAATATTTTTTTGTTTAATTGGTTTTAGTTCTACCTAAACAACTGTAATTTGCGTTATCAAATATTAAAAAAAAAAAAACATTTTCAGTTTGTCTTTTCCAATTGGCTTGCATAACGGCTATATATTGTTATGTAAAACAAGAACAAACCATAAGAGATAACAAAAATAATTTAAATTGGATCGAAAAGCAATTGAATAAGATAGTGCCCAATTCTGGGCAATCTGAGGTACCTTCTACCTCAAAGGATCCGTTAAATGAACCATCAACATCGAAATTGCCATCGAGTCCATTAAATGCCGAACCAATAGAGGATGAAACAACTGCAGCTGCTTTGGTTGATACTCCTATGCAGCCACTGAAGAATGAAATTACAGACAAGTTGCCACCGAATATAAACGAAATACCTGTTGGTGAAGCAGACAAAATTACCGATACAGATAATCGAAGCCCTGGCCAAACTCCCGGTACCGATGGACAACCTGACGTAAATTCTAATGTCAACCAAGAACGTGACAAATCTTGAAATTTCGATCGAAATTCTAATAAACCTACCTGTACCGATGGAAACCTCGACAAAAAAAACATGTCCCTATGCAATAATTTTATATTTTACAGCAAACATTTTAATGGCACAAAACATTTTTAACATGACTACGTACGTTTTTTTTTTTTTCAATGCTATAGCATGGTATTTGCATAATATTGTTAGCCGTTGATGTGTACCTTATTATGGTCATGTCTCAAATAAATATTTTCTTGTTGGTGACCTAAAGGTTATTCGATAGTTGTTGTTTAGTAATTACCTCTGATGTCTACATTGACTGAACATGTTATTTAGTAGTGTATTTTTTTTTTTTTTATCTAATCTTTGTTCAATCGATTAGAATGGAATGAGTAGTAGTGAGTGGTTTTGCTTTTATTAATACTGTTTTATTTAAATGAATACTTACTATTGTAATAATCAACTAATAATATTATTATTAAAAATGGCACAATAAGAGACATGAAGCTATAATGTAGCTAACTATAATTTTTTTTTATTCAGTCTTTTGCCGAAACGTATCTATCTATTCTCCTTACAAAATTTTTATTAAGGTTCGTCTTTGCCCCGTCAGGATCAGGTCAGTTAGTTATTTTCTATTTTCATTTTACATCTTTTTACTATGGTCAGAATGACGCCCCATTGTGCTATTATCGATTTTTTGATATTACAAATAGCCTTGAAAAAAGCAGCTAAAAAAACAATAATCGAACTAACTTATTAAATACAAAAAGTAATTTTTCAAAAAAAATAAAATTGTACGTATTAAAAAAAAAAAATTTGTTAATCGATTGATTAATTGATAAATTGATTTTTTGTAAATCATTTTTGAAATGTTATAACATGTAATATATTACAGCCGTTAGAGGAGAGACGTTTTAAGTGATTTTTTTTTTTACTTATTCAGTATTCTTGGCTTTTTTCTACGTGTAGATTTTAAATTTACTTTGTGCTATTAATTTTTTAATAATTAGATTAATTCATTTACTATCAAGTTTCAAGATGAGAACGTTATAGCTGTGCGACTGCGTTGGTTTTTTCAACATCTTAATTTTTGAGTGAGATCTAAGCGTTTTTAAATCACGGCATTTCATATACTCATAACTCGCTTAAAAACTAAAATATCCAATAGTTACATAGATAATTTTCTTATTTAAAAATTTGGTAATAGATCGAATTGCTGTAGTGTGAAAACTCGCAGCCCGAATTTGTTCCTGCCGAATGAAAATTTGCATTATCGTATGTTTGTAAGATGCGGTCGCCGTCTTTCCAAGACGAAAACGGCACACGCGAGTGTGACATGGCGTCCGGTTTTTCGAAATCGTATTTATTACCATCTATTCACCCGTGCAATACTATTATATATTAAACTCGGCGCGCTGTGAGAATTATACGAGTGTATTGTGTTTACTGCGTTATGGCGGTTTCTTATTATGTGACATTTTTTTTTTTTATTTTTTTTTTTGGTCCCAAACCGTAGAGGTCAATTGTGTCGTCGTCGCGGACCGAGGACGCCGCGAAAGATATTTTTATATATTATACGAGTATACACACTCAGAATTCTGCGAGTACATCGAAAACGCATTAGACTATATAGTACGGACCACCGTATTTTCAAAGTCTGTATATGTATTATATACTTCTAACGTCTCCGTTTTTCGTTTTTCCATTTTCGTATTTTTTTTTTTTTTTTTTTTATTTTTTTTCCTTATTTGTCGTGAATATTATTACACACGCACGCCCGAAATATATGCCATATATGCCTGTTAAATACGTATAGAATGCGTGAGCCGTATATTTCTTTTTCTGCGTGAACTCGACGTTGAACCATCGGCCGTCACCGTTTGTCGTACGTCTTTTAGCAATACGTTATTAATAAAATATACGAATCCGATTTGAAAAAAAAAAAAAAAAAACAAACAGACAAACAAACGAACGAACATTTTTGATTAAAATAAATATATATACATGCGAACTATGTTCGTTCTGGGTACGCTCTCTCTTTTCTCTCTCTTCTAATGACACGATCACTCTCCGAGAAATTTCGCCACGACCAACTAAACTTTGTCTGCCGTCTCCATTTTGAACTACAGCCTCTCTCCAGTTTTCAACTGCTAGACTTTCCGAATCCTCTGCCACCATGTCTATCAATCTGGGCCTATCGTTAAGTCGTCTTCCTCGGGGTTTCCATTCCGCAGTGCTGCCACAGTTGCCACAACTGTCCCGTCTTTATCTCTCCTCGTGACCTCATCATGTGACCCAACCACCGAATCCATTTGCCCTCACATACCTATAATGTTATTGGCGCCGATCCCATCATAACGCCGCGGCCCTTTTTTTTGTTTGCGTCCCCTTCGTGAGCGCCCCCATTGTTTCGTCGACGGTCGCTCCACGTAATATAATACAACAATTATGTAAGGCACTGTCTTAATATATATTAGGGGTGACGTTTGGCCAGAGGTGGCCAAAAGTCGCCGCGCAACGCCCGCCGTCTTGCATGGCATCTGTTCTTCAACCGTAATCGGTCCTTACTTTCACGACCGCACGGTAAACGGTCCCGAATACCTCGAAATGCTCGGAGAAGTCAAGATCGATCTCGACAACAACGATATCTTCCGTGGTAAGCGTATTATCTGGCAAATTTTTTCCGCGACCTTTGGCCACCTCTGTACATATCTCTCTCTCTCTCTCTATATATATATATTTATATATATGTACATCTACATAAGATTATATCTTACTATAATTGTACGATGTATGCAATATCGAAGTGAGCTAGGGAGAATTTGAACGTTTCTATGTTATAGTTTTCGCGCCTTTACGCTTTGCGGATAGGCGATATTCTCTGCGTGTATTTTCTGAAATTTAAAATACCAATCTCTCCTCGTTGAAATCGTAGTGCACATAGGCATATGTTATTAATTAGAATACTGCGCGGCGGCGGCGGCGGGGAGAGAAGGGGTACGGTTCGTCTTTGATTTTAGCTCCGTATCTGGCCAGCGTTTCTTCGTGTATACTGCAAAAACACGTGCACCATTATTATTATATTTCGCAGGTAGGTAATTAATATTCATTGCGAGAAAATATAATACGGGGGTAGCTAGGTAACTGCTGCGCCGAACAAACAACATAATGTTTATATATATATACCGAAAACATTAAAAGTCAAACTATACGAGTATAAATATTATCGTAATAATAATTAATGTGCACTCGTATTTTGAAACATATCCGCGCCGTGTTTGCGCGTTTAAACTTTTGCAGCTCGTGCACGGTAATACGTACAAACGTGGGTCCAATTCATTATTTTTGTTTTCCGCGGGTCGTGAAATGAGGTAAAAAAAAAAAAAAACACGTACCCGCCTAACATGTACACCGTCGTTGGATACCCGCGGATCCGGCGAGCATCATTAAAAACTATACTACTAATGTCAAACGACGAATCTGTGTTCTTGTGTTGTTTTATCGTAGCATGCAACACGAGTGTATAATAATCTTATGTGTTCAGTGCCGAAAATGTATTGTAACTTGTAAGAGTATATGAAACTCGTCAATTCCCACAGTGTGGTGGCTCATCCTCAAATGGTTATTTTGCCCAGTATGCTTATGGCCCCTTTTGAAAAACTATATTTGGCTTATTTTTTTGTTTTGTTTTTTTTTTAACGCAAACAAAATTTTTTTTGTTAATTTCAAATATTTTAAAATCCAAATCATTAGTAAAAATATTACAAAAATTATTCACAAATGTTGTTTTCGTTTTAAAAAGAGGCCAAATTCAGTTGTTTTTGCTACGCATCTCTCTCCGCATTGAACGTTTCTCAAAGAAATGTTTGACTTTATATTATTACGACGACGTTAGCGCTTTGTATAGGTAGGTTGTTCCACACTATTCTGCCATTTCATAAAAACACGTATCAACAAAAAGTTCGGTCCGTAGAAAATAATATTCTATAATAACGTCTAAGACTCGGAAAGACGTTTTTTTTTTTTTTTGATATAAACACTGCAGACTGGTGCCCGGTTTTTTTTTTTTTAATCCGTCTTCGTTTTTAACGAGCGCACGGTTATAATACTTTTTACAATATATTTCAAAAACAAACTTACATACAAAGTGCACAGTCGAGTTTTATTATTATTATTATTATATTCTTCATATTTTAAGGGCGGTAATTCAACTTGTGATGTTGTCTTTGTATACAGGTATTTGCCATATAAATGTAAATATAAAAACAAATTTGAAAAAAAATCGCTTTGAGTGTCTGACGTCTAAAATTCATTCGCAAAGTCTAAAGTAATCATTTGTGTATATGTATAATTATTTTATTTTATATTTTTATTTTTATTTTTTTTGTACATTGAAGTTTTATCACGTTTTCATAGATTAAATATTTCCATTCGTTTCGTTATTGAAAATAATTATTTATTACTTATTTTTTTTTTTTGAAACTCAAAAAAATTAATTCAAATTAAATCTCCTGTTGAAATTATTCGACAGTATTTGTGTTCAACTACTTGAAAATATACTAATATAATTTTTTTTTTAATAATTATAATAGATATATAAATAATTTATTAATTTTATCGATTGATTTATATTTTTTATGTTTTTACCTTCATTTGTTCCCACGTACACACGGTGGATACGTCCAGTTGTCCTAGATCGTAGACAGGTATATCTATCGGTATTGGTTAATAAGACTTTTTTTTTAAAATATCATCCTCAACCATTGATAGATAATATAAGGTCATTAGCGAATATCTCGCTGGAATTTCGCAAGTTAATATTGTAGTAATCTGGATTGGATTACTACTGATTTACCTTATACGTTTACATTGCTTTATTTTTAATTTAATTTCAGAGAACATAGATATTTCCAAACTACTTTGAAAAACATATTTATATATTATACTGAGTGTCCTACAGCGTTGTCCTTATGCTAATTACCTCTGTCAATATTCATTTTTTTTTTCAACTCGTGACA